TCTGGGATGAAGAAAGCTGCCTTCCCTCTGTTTCATTAGAGAGAAGAACATTAAATAAAACGGACAAAATCCATGTCCTTCTAGGGCTTACACTTTGGTATAGAAGCAAGACATCGATGAAGAAAAGTCCATAGTATGACGGGTGCCAGCCAAGGAGCGAGGGAGGGAACAGGATGGGACTTCAGACGAAGGGACGAGGTGGGAAGGCCTCTCCACCAGGCACACTGGAGCCAGCGGGCGATGTGGCCTGGACACAGCCTGTGGGCACAGCGCGTGTGGCATCGGGAGGCGTGATAGGAAGGACATGTTCTGACCCCTGCTTGCCGGGCCCGTGTAGACCCCAGACGGAAAGGGCTGCAGCCGGGCAAGTGCAGAGGGGTCTGCAGGTGTCCACGGGAGCAAGCCCGACGGTTTGGGCCAGGGTGGAGCCAAAGTGTGCCAGGGAGTGTTCAGACTCTGGGCAGAGTTTGAAGGTAAAGCCACAAGGACCTGCTGACATATGTGATGGTGAGTGAAAGAGAAGGGAGGAGACAGCAGCTCAGGAATGGGTCACCATGTCCTGGGAATGGAAGACTGGAGGAAGGGGCTTCGGAGAGAAGAAAAAATGTCCAGCCTGGCCCTGCTTCCTTCGAGTTGCCTGTTAAAAATCCAAGTGAAGATACTGAAGTTGGAGCTAAGAGTCTGGATTGAGAAAAGAGTGCCAAACCTGAGGGTCTGGCCGCGTGAGCATGTGGGAGTCATCAGGGGATCGATATTATTTTTCCACAAGGCCAGCTGAGACCACCCGTGAGCGGGTGGAACAGAAAAGAGAGGGGCTGGAATGGTGACTGTCGAGGTCAGGGAGCTGGCAGGGACTTGCCAGGAAGACGAAGGGGAGAGGGACTGGGGCTGGCAGGTGGGAGTGGGGAGAGGAACGTGGAGGGCGCGAGTGACCTCAGGGAGGGGGTTTCCATGGAGATGCAGGACTGCGGGCTGTTCCATCTCCCGCTGGGCAGGGGAGCCACACAGCAAACCGCGTCTCCCTCCAGGTTCAAATGGACTTGAAGGTTTGGGGAAAATTTTGAGCCAAACATGTTAATTTTTCATGATTTTAATATAAAACCAAAAGACTTCAAAGAACTCATGTTGGTGCATTGCTTAGGGCTTCATTCCCAGGACCCCAGGGGAAGGAATCCACTCTCCTCCGGGGAAGGTTTGGGAAACACCTGTATGAAAGTTCTGCATGGTTAGTGGACTTACCTTTGGAATGTGGGGTAAAATGAAACATTCTTCGAATGTTTGACTACAGCCCATTTGTATTCTTAAGAAATACCTAAGTAACTTTTATTATCCATTACTCATAATCTGTGCTCAATGGCTAAATATTTTTTCTCACGTAAACAAGCTTACCAGTTGTTGACACCTCCTAAAGTGATATGGATCCCTTCCGAAATTATATGGAAGCTTTTGCTAAATGAAGAGTATTTAATTTTTAATTATATCTTTTTTCCCCCTCCTGCTAGCCCCTAGAGGTAATGCTGAAAGCACTTCTAACAGACAGGTGGGTATGTCTATATTTTGCCTTCATAATTTGCTGGTTTAATTATAGGAAATAAAATTTCAGGTTTATGTAGATTTGCAATGGACACTAAGTTCCAAGAAAAAAAACAATCCAGTAAAAACAGACTGTAATGTATAAGCCCCTGTGGGAGCTAAAACAGTCCTGCAAAATTCTATCTAAAAATCATTAATTTGAATCAGTAGTTGAAGATTTTGCCCTAACATTTTTTATTATTTGAAATTTCATTTTTTAAAAAAATGTTCAGTCCCCTTGTTTTGTGGAAATGGTTGTTTTTAAAACTGTCGTCTGGGTATTTGTAATTATTTCTTACATTTTGTTAAGGAGTGGCAGGAGCAGGAGACACTCTGGTATACATGTGGACACTCTTTTCATCTAGGGATCCTCATGAGATAAGTGTTTGGTTCTAAAAGGGATTTTCAATTTCCTGCTGTGTGTGTTTATAAACACATTTTTGTGTTTCTGAACCTGTATGTCTATATATGCAATGAAAAGATACAATTGTGGTATCCCTGTCCAGCAACCCATGCCATAACTTAGCAAAAGTGGAGAATATGTTCCAGAAGATAAGCACAAGTAGATTCATGTCTCCCTCCCTCCAGGCCAGGGCAGATCCTTCTTTCCGTACTGCCACTAGTCAATTTGTTATTTATTTTGTCTGCACCTGTTGGATGGCAGATCGAAGTTTCTGAAGGCAAGCCCGTGTTTGTTGTGGGTTTTGAGTGGAGACCCCCAACACACACCTTGGAGGTAACTTAAAACCATTTCATTAGCAAAGAGGTGTGATGTATTTTACTTTGTTTAGCAAATGTTTATGGTTTTACTTTTTAAATCCCACCACAAATCACTTACACTTTAAAATGGAGCTGGTCTGAAAGCAATTACCCTAGCTGAGCTCCAAAGACTTCCGCTGGGTTGTTCTCATTAGATAACAGCAATTACGGGCACATGTGTGCACCATGCAATCTTAAATAAACTCAATCCAAACACAAGCCTCAGTCTTCAGCTTTTCCCCAGAAAAAGAAATTAGAGCAGTTTCTCTTGCACTTTTTATAGTGCCTGGATGGATATACTGACTTTCATGCCATTATCTCAATGGCATTACTGCAAACTCTGATCCTGGGATGAAGTCCTCACGGGCAAGCTGGACGTGGCTGGCACATTGGCACCATAATTGAAGGCCATAGATATTTCTTTGAAGAATAAAATAGTGCCACTCACCAAAGTCTTTCACCACATGAATAACCACAGACAATAAATATTAAATGAAGGGTGACAGGAGGATGCATGAAGCTGGCACTGAGTCACAGAGCGAGCTAAGTTTTTGGTCTCTCCAGTTTCCATCATGATCGGAATCAAGCTGCAGTTGACATTGGGTCAAAGGTTAGCCTGTCTCCTCTGACAGCTCTGACCATCTTCAGTAGCCAGTGAAATATTTCGATGGATTGTCTTATCCATAAGTACTTACAACAGAAGTTCTCATTAGTGTAGCACAGGAGACGTATTCTTTTTCTCTCACCATCTCCTTAGATCTTTATCAAAGGGAGTAAAAGCCAATCCAGAAATCTTCTAAACTTTCAAGTTTAGTTATTTGGAAGAATGAAACAGAAGCGTGGATCAACTTATATTTGCAGAAATTGGTACACTTGGAAAAATAAGTCTAAGAGATTGTATATTGCTCTTCCTTTTTATTTTAAATTACTTTAAATTGAAAGTCAGGCGTGCTAAATCGTGGCAGTACAGTGAGCAAACTTTTCAAGGTGCATTTCTTCTTGGGTAAAATAGTGAATGGAAAAGATTCAAAGGAAAATTTAAAAATCAACTATGCTTTTATCAAGTTTGAACCATAAATTATATTACTGAAATCGTGGCAGTACAGTGAGCAAACTTTTCAAGGTGCATTTCTTCTTGGGTAAAATAGTGAATGGAAAAGATGCAAAGGAAAATTTAAAAATCAACTATGCTTTTATCAAGTTTGAACCATAAATTATATTACTGGAATTATTTTTGTATGATGAACCCAAGGTGATCAGAGATTCTGTAGAACATTCAAATTGTATTTAGTTCAATTACAATATTTTAAGTAAATTCTGATTTTCTCAACTGAGATAATTTTTCATGATATTTCTCATCATTTTGAGGGAGAAAAGTGTTTAGAAGTTACCGGTATCCAGAATGCTTTCATTGTTTTTGATTAATTCTTACAACTAAAATAATCAGCTCAGCACTCTTTATTTTCATGTCTATTTTAAAATATTGCTTTTTGCCTTGTTTTTACCAGATAGGCCTATTTAATTCCTAGAAGGCAAGCCTTGGTCTTCACAGAGGGTGCTGCAGACTTCCTAACATGATGTCTTTTTCTGTCTTGCAGCTGAGGAAGCAGGGCTGAATTCTCCCACCCCCGAGGCAGTCCCTGGACACGTGGGACACTCCTCACCAGTGCAGACTTCCTAACATGATGTCTTTTTCTGTCTTGCAGCTGAGAAAGCAGGGCTGAATTCTCCCACCCCCGAGGCAGTCCCTGGACACGTGGGACACTCCTCACCAAAGAGCAACTAAAAAGACGAAAACACATAGTATTTGCACTTTGTACTTTACATGTAAATTCACTTTGTAGAAATGAGATATTTAAACAGACTGTTCTAATCTGTGAAAATGAAAAGCTGGCAGAAAATTAATCACATACAATGTATGTGTCCTCCTTTGACCTTTGAAATCGGTACTTGGTGAAGATGTGTTTTGAGTGCATTTAAGCTTAATTTCTTTGTCCTACACATGTTGACAGTAGAAACCTCATGTGAGGCATGCTGGCTGCAGTCCTCTGCCCTACCCCTCACCAGTGCAGCACCTTGTAGTCCATGTGTGCACAGCGTCGTTGAAGCCTGTTGGAAGCTTCATGTTTCCATACAACGTTGTCATGTACTGCCGACCCGGGCTTGCAGTTAACGTGCATGGGTTGGTTTGTTTCTTGGGATTTTGTTTTAGTTTTGTTTTGCTTTCTGGAGATTTTGCTCCCACAATGAGTTATGCAACCACTAAAGCAATCCAATAACTATAGCTAGTGCCGGATAGGAAAGAATATTTTCAAGCTATCTTTGGTGTGATGGTTTGGTTCAAACAATCTTTGCTTTTCTGTCTCAAGCTTCTGTTTAAGTTACACCTTGGGCTGGGATTAATCATGCCATTACATCGGGAGAGAGTTGTTCTTGCTGTGGGGGGAGCCTAGAATGGCCAGATTGTTGAGAAAAGCAATTCTAATCCATGCGTGAGCAAGCCTTCTAAACACGCTTGTCTGCCTGCTTTTCTCTTACCCGTGGCCCTTACCCCTCCTACCACGGATCACCCCAGAGCCCACTGAAAGGTAGATTATTACCTGAACAAATGATAAGCAGTCTCCTTAAAGAAGGCATGGGCAGGCTCCGCCGTGCCCTGGGCGTCGGTCTTGGCAGAGGTTCCCGCGTTCTGAATGGCTCTAGGGTGTAAGAAGACACCAAGACCACTTCAGGGGAAGTGGCCTGAGCGGACCCTGTGAGAGGAGGGTCAGGAACAGAAAGCCCGCCCGATGAGTGAGCAGCAGAACCAGCTGCTGTAGGTCAGCCCTGCCCCGGGCTCTGTGGCACTGTTTGGAGGTCACCTGGGAACTGGGTGAGGAAGTGGAGATACTGGCTCAGCTCAGAGTTTTAGTTGGAAAATTTTCATGGCCCCAAGTCCCCCAACACTTGTTATGTAAAACGATGTCTGTGGGCATGCATGAAGATACTTTAGGAGGCTTCTTGCTTATTTAAACTGTGCAAAAATGAAAACCGAGCCTTTGGATCCACAGAACCAGCTCGAGGATGTGTCAACATTGTTTGTGAAACAGGTATGATCCTGAATGTTATGGGTAGTCTTTTATATTTCTCAACTTTGAATTTAATCATTTTTCTTAGATTAAAATAAAATATGCTATCAAAACTGTATTTAGTCCTTTCTTTCCAGCTGATATAGAGTATTATAATTCCTTAACTTTAAAGTTGTCTACCATGGAGGTAAAAGCAAGAACTCTGGGCCAGAATGAATTTGAGCCCTGGCCCTGCTCCTCACGGCTCTGTGGCTTTGGGCATGTTAATTAACCTTTCTATCCTTCAGTTTCCTTCTCTGTAAAACAGGGGTGGTGGCGGTGTGCACCTCCTGGGGTGAAGATCACATGAGTTAGTCATTACATGTAAGGTGCTTAGAGCCTGGCACCAAGGACGTGCGATCTATGTGTCTGCCCTTTCTATGTGGAACAGTCACTCATCAGTGAGTACTGATCCAGCAGTTGCTGAACACAGCTGCATACTTCTCATGTTTCCAAGTGCTATGAGAAACTACGGAATAAATCAAAGTGTTCTTGTTTTGATTAAAGCTGATGCTATTCACTAAGTCACACTAGAAACCCTGAGCATGACACATCTCCTCAAGCCTCTGACCTCCAATCCTGTGTCCCATCCTCAGTTAGGCCTGCATTGTGTTTCACTCGGACCATTGCAGTAGCTAATTAACTGGTCATACTTCCTCTAGGATTCTCTACTCCCTCCTGGTAAATCCACTCCCACACCCACAATTTTCTCCCCACTCAGAAAAGAGTGATCTTTGTAAAACTCAGTCTTAGCATTGATGATGATCAATTGTGTAGTAAAGACAACACAGGAAAGGACTTAGAAGAAAGACAGCTATCAGGAGATGCTCCCTGCGGAGGTGGAGCTTGGACTGCATTCCAGAGCAGGTAGGGGAGAACATGTCCAAGGACTCTGAAGGAGCTGGAACAAAGGCAGAGAGCAAGAGGGGAGAAGTAGGGTGGGGAGCCAGTGAGCCTGTGCAGATGGTCCTTACTGAGAAGCATTAAGACTGCAAATCTAAAACAGAAATCTGTTTGCCTTACCTACCCACTGTGGCTGTTTTCAGTGATAGATGCTTCCCTCCCCAAACTCTCCCCACCTTCATTCTCACGTTTGAAAGGCTCTCCTGCATCTCTGTCAAAAATCTCCTAGCTGGAGATTTTTTAGAAGCATACCGACCAACTCATAAATCATGACCATAAATGTCACACCCAGAATTTTTAATTATCAAGGTGAAAGGTGAAAGCTATTTGGGATTGATGTGTAGAGATGACTGACACGATCATAAAATGCTAAATGGACAAACAAATCATGCAAACAACAAAGCTACTTCAGAAAGACAGTAAGAAGGTGTACAAAGCTAAACTCAGGGGTCTCTCATGGTTATGATGGTGATGATCATAGTGATGCTAATGAGGGTGGTGATGATGGTGATGATGATGGTGCTAGTGGTGATGTGATGACAATGATGGTGATGGTGGTGATGGTGATGGTGATGATGATGATGATGGTGATGGTGATGATGATGATGGTGATGGTGATGATGATGATGATGGTGATGGTGATGATGATGATGGTGATGATGTTGATGATGGTGATTATGATGGTGATGATGGTGATGATGGTGATGGTGGTGATGATGGTGATGGTGGTGATAGTGGTGATGATGATGGTGGTGATGGTGATTATGATGGTGATGATGGTGGTGATGGTGATTATGATGGTGATGATGGTGATGATGATGATGGTGATGATNATGGTGCTAGTGGTGATGTGATGACAATGATGGTGATGGTGGTGATGGTGTTGATGGTGATGGTGATGATGGTGACGATGGTGATGGTGATGATGGTGGTGATGGTGATGGTGATGATGGTGGTGATGGTGATGGTGATGATGATGATGATGGTGATGGTGATGATGATGATGGTGATGATGTTGATGATGGTGATTATGATGGTGATGATGGTGATGATGGTGATGGTGGTGATGATGGTGATGGTGGTGATAGTGGTGATGATGATGGTGGTGATGGTGATTATGATGGTGATGATGGTGGTGATGGTGATTATGATGGTGATG